TGCCATTCATTCATCATTTATGTATTTTTCCAATAGATCCTTTCGAACGTCATAACTTAGCATCTACGCTTACACCTTCTGAAAAAGCATTCTACCATGATCAATTAGAACGACTGAAAGCTTGCAAAGGACGTGCTTGTACTGAAGGCTTGGGTGGAACTTTCAAAGAAGAATCATCTCACAGACGAACAGGACCTACTGCACTCTTACATCGTGGTGTCAAACGAAAGTATTCACACTCAGGTATGAAAATATAATGAAATTTATTATTTCTTTAACGCAATGTTTTCCGCACAACGTTATACTAAGAAAACGATATAAAAGTTACAAAACTTTGGACTTTCTGCGTAATAACAAGAAAAGCTCTATTGTAGCCCTTTGGGTACGAGTATCGCTTATAGGCGACATCCGCATGAAGACCCGTGGGTATGTGTGTCCTCTATAGACGACCTATGCTCACGGATGTCGTCTATAGACCACATCTAGTGTAGACACTTGCTTCGATTTATTTCTCTGACAATGAGTTAAATTATTGAGGATTTAATTTTTTATTGTATTTTTTAGTACTATAGAAGTGTAATGTTACTATCTCGTCCTTATTGAGAGAAATTTATCTGTAAAAAGCAGTTTCTATATCGTTTTCATTTATAACTCTATAAAGCTTATTATTTTTAATTTAATATCAACCTGACTCGATGCCAATTTTAATATGAGTGTATCAAGTTTTTTAACTAATTTTTGCATGAACTTTTTATATGTCTCATTATCCATTTCATAAGTGTTTTCATTCTCATTTGGTGTTTCAATTATTCAACCTCAGCTCCTTTGCTCGGTCCATCGCCACTTCACAATTTAGGTGATCCAAATCAGCCAATTCCTAAGAAACGAAAGAAAATTACTAAGTGAGTATTATATACATTGTCATCTAATTTATATTAATGTATTTCAGCTGATGTATTCATGCTATGTATATTTGTTGATTTGAACTATTTTTGCACTGGTCCTAAGCGATTTATAATCTTTATAAGAGTAAAAAATAGATTTTTAGGAATATATATATATATATATATGTATGTATATATATATATACATTTCTTCCTACAATTTTTTTTAAATTAAAAAAATTTACTTAAATTATTTAAATTGAATATAGTCAAGTTTCGGCCTAGAGCTCAAGATATGTTTTTTTTAGTTATGATAAATGTCCAAGAGCAATTGGCTTTGCTAAGGAATTATTATTCTTTAGGTTTTATTGATAATTCAAATTTGTTTTAATGATAAGAGAAATTAAATAGAAACATGTGATTCTATCTATGTAATATGACACTATTTTTCTCAGTATTTCTTCATTCCAATAACGCCACTCGACTATACGTACTTAAGTGCAATATAAAGTACTGCATTTTAATGTTATTTAGACATGCATAAATACAAACAAACATTATCTATAATTTGAAACTATAATTTGCTTAAAAAATTCGAAGGCAATTACATAAAATTCTGTTTCTAGGCCCTGGAGAAAACGAAAAGCGTGGAGCGAGCATTCTCAAAGATCACGTCAACGGCGAAGACATTTAAGAGTATTTTAAAAAATCATGTGATTTGTTTAATTTTATATTTAAAGTGCTAATAAGAGTTGCATACTATAACTGCCATTGACAATTATTTGAATTTTTAAACTTTATAAAGTTTATTAACTTTATTACGTCGAAAAACGCGAGATATTTATTGTTTACGCTTGATATTTAAAATTAAGTCATTAGGACATAAATTAAAATAAAAGAAAATGTACTATTGCTTTCTAGTAAGTATATTATTGAATTGGAAAAATGGTAAGAAATACTTTGAGTGATGTGATAAAAAAATTGCTCATAATGAAGTAATTCTAGTATTATTTTTATCAAATGTAAAACCACCATCCCAAGCATATATAATTGTATCATTCACTAATATTCATAATTATATTACATAATATAAATTAGAAAATCCTATTTATAATTTTTATATAAACAAGTATAACTTTATGATAGATTTAAATACTGATAGTCTTTTAAAATTGTATGTTCCCTAGTAAAATATCGATTTAAATTAATATATTTATTTAGTTGTAACCACTAGAATAAGTATGAAATTGCTTTTACTCATAAATAATTGTTGTCCATTCATAATGTGCTTGTCTCAAAAGCAAATTTTCATTAAATGTGCAAAATCTGAAAAATAAATACTTAATGAATACAGATGATTCAAAAGTACTCTTTTTATGTATATAAAAATATTAATATAAATATACATTAGGTACAGAGAAAATATAAGTCATTTAATTCTATTTTTACCATAAAATTTCACTTAAATATATCACATATTTATGAACTAATACTATTGAAGTAATCAGAAAAATTACATTCTTTTGTTTTACAGATTGAAAATTGATTCCAAATCCGTATTACTATCGACTGTACTGAATAGTTCAACCGGTTTGCTTTTCTTCTTTAATTCGGGCAATGGTTCTACAGTCTTGCTTTCAAACTCTTCAAATTGATCATCAATTATATCATTCAACTCAACTTCGTTGCAACTAGTTTGAGACGGTTCACTAAATGAGTCCCACTCTGTATGAAAATTCCAGTTGTAATTTGATTGAGACTCAGGAAGCCTGTTTTTACAGCTTTCATCTTCAGGTTTAATCACATTGTTAGTAGACCTAGAATCATATATATCTTTGTAGTTCATACATATTACAAGATATATTTCATAATATATAAAATTATAATGGATATATAATGTATTAAAACCTTGTAGAATTTGTGTTTCTGTTTTATCATCTATTTCTTCATATTTATTTGTTTCATTATCATTTCTTTCATCTTCATTAATATAATGCAACCATTTATTTACAGATTTATTTACAGATTCAATATCAGAAGTTGAAAATCTAGCAGCATTATTTAACTTTGTGTATTTACTTGGTGTATTAAAAATATCCGTTTCTGGAGGCAAATGCCTTTTTTGAGTTTTCTTCGCAGAGACATCATCAGTTAGAAGAAATTTTATTGGGTCAGGTTTGTCAATAACTCTCTCCAAAGACAACTTAACTTTTTTCTTTGGAGGAGATTTTTGTACTTCTGTTTCCTCATCTTCACTTACTATCACTTCATTTTCAATAAATTCAGACCATTTATTTGAAGATGATGCTTGTATATTTTGAATTTCTGGTGTTAGATTTTCATTATCAATTGAAGCTAATTCCTTTAATCTTTCCTCTAAAGTCAAATCTCTTTTAAATCTCATTTGATTTAATTCTTGCACCAACTTTCTGCAATCTTTGCCTTGACCAGAACTGTAAACCTTTTTTAATGATTGTTTCTCGCCACAAAGTTTGCATGTCCATTTATTGGATTTTTTTTCTATGTCTACCTAGATATTAAATTATAACATTAGGCAATTAATTTAACATATATAAATATATTACATATATTTTTATGTGTGCAATATTTATAATAAACATAATGAAATTAATTAAATATAATAAATTAACTTTCGACTAAAGCAAGTGATTACATTAATATATTGCATTAACAACTTTTGATTAAGTAAGTCATAATTATTAATAGCTATAAATGAATTTAATAGAATTTATGATAATATTAAGTACTTGTAGGCATGACTATGATTCTGATGAACCTTAGGTATGATATTTAATAAAACTAGTTGAAGATAATAAAAAGAGAGAAAATTTTGTTAATAGCATAATTAAAACTATAACAATTTATAAATATCATAATCCTCCTACTATCTTGATTTAAAAGTACTAATTGAAAGAGCTAAAGTTTCATTTACCTGAAAACTCTCGCATTTATAACATCGTACAACACGCAACTCCTGAGGCATTTTTTACTTACAATTTCAGTTAGCAAGCTCATGGATATAACAGAAGTTTATATAAGAATATATATTATTAATTTAAATAGATAAATATATATTTGCTTAGTAGTTTTTAAATGACACAAAAAAACTTTTGTTTGATCTTCAAATATTATTATATATATAACGGATATAATTTAAACTCCGATTATAGAAAAAACAAAATTCAAATTTGTATTTAATTTAATAATAAATAAATCAAAATCAATTTAAAAATCAAGATAAGATTTCAATGTTGTTTGTTTTGACATTTCATAATTGCATTTTTTATTAAAGTCGGTTAGCAACTTTTTTGACAGATCGTTGACAGCTGTCAGTTGGCTTCATTGGCGCGCAATTCATAGGCGTGACAATATAAATATTACAATATAAAATATTATTTTAAATTTTGTTTTTTCTAGTATGTATAGTCCCAAAGTGTGCATTTTTGGCAAATTATTTAATCCACAAAAATATAAAGAACATTACAGTAATACTTAAGTTTAATTGTAATTGTTGGTTAGTGAATTGTACTTGTGTTTTATTGTACCTAAAATTGGTTAGTGAATATTTAATTAATATATTTATGAATATTACGTATAGCTTCGACGTGAGATTAAAATATTAATAAATCATATAGTTTAGTAACTGTTGGATTAAATTTGTTGCTGAAAATATATTTAAAGGTAGCTGGAATGACAAAAGTGACATCCAATAAGACAGTAAGTACAAATAATAATTATTGTTGCAAACTAATTTCTTGTATTTATTGTATCATATTTTTTATTATACTGCCCATTTTTTAAGATAATTGTTTCAACCAAGCATTTATTTAAATCATTATGATCAAAGTTTAATTATTTTAGTGAAATGAAAACTATATTGTGTTGCATAAGTATTTGATATTTGCAAATGACTACATAATATTATATTATATTATCAATTATAATTTTATTTCAGGTCTTTCTTATAAGGAAACAAGAAACTTATAAGAAATTTCTATCAAATGTGATGTATTTTCTAGATCATTGTCACATTACTATGCAGTCACATTCCTGTCTACGTAGTATCGTTCGATTTAACTGTTTCTCTAGAAAATATAAACTAAACAAGAATGTTGAATCACCTGCTGAAACAGAATGATGAATGAATCATGATCTTGAATTTCATAACATAAGTTTTGGATCATTTTGTTGTACTCTTGAGAGTGAAAATACAGTTATTTATATGGCTAGTACTCCAACGAGTAAGGGAAATACAAACAAATTGGTATATATGGACAAAATGGCACTGAGTCCTTATTTAAAAATTGGCTAGTTTTCGTAACGTTTTCACTATTGTATAGCATGAAGAAATCCTTAGAAACAATCCTGTTCGATGTTGAGTGACATTGTCACATTTTTATCAAAAGCTTATTTTGAAATTTTTGTAATATATTTTTTGGACTTATTCATTGTTATTTGCAATTACCTCTATTACAATCAATGAACTTACACTAGTACCATTGTTTTTGATCAATTTTATTGCACTTGTGACGCATTAGATGGAATTTTGGTTATTGATTCATTTTTTCATCAATTTTTCTCACAAAATGACTTTCTTATACAATGGACAATATGACATAATACTGTTTCGCAAGAACTACGTGGCAGTTTCTTCAAGGCCAAGAAAAAAGAAAATAGAATTCTGTCAAAGGTGAAAGGCTTTTAACTTCTACTCAACTTCTAAAAACAAACCGATGGATATACTGGTAAAAATAAGAGGCTTGCATTTATTGTCAAGACCTATGTTTCCATTCTGAACCATGACTGTTTAACCAGCATTGAGGGTTAGTGTTAGTAATGCTATTTAATACTGGAATCCCCGCTATAATGGTGCAATAGCATCATTTCTCAAATATATTAAATATGAACGAAAACTACGAAGGGAGATAAAATGCATAGATGTGACAAAAATAACACATTTAATACAATCATGTCTCTTAAATATCTAGACGTGTTGCTGTCTCTAGAGAAGTGATTAAAGGCTGATGAAGAATTGTGTTCTGAGTTTGTAAGTTTTTTTACCACTACTGTATATATATATATATATATATATATATATATATATATACTGTAGAACCTTGATTAACCCGGACTGATAAAAATTCCGGAAATCCAATGTATGAAGAATAATGATGTGTATTTATCAAAAAGAACAAATCCATACATAGATATTAATGAAAATCAATGTTTAATAAAAAAAATAACATTTTCTTATGTATTTACATATTATATTACATACATATACTAAACTGCAGCATAAATCGTGCAAAAATTTGATTTGTAGCTATGTACATACATATAACTCTGTCGTGGTTGGTAGCCCGGATAATCGCAAATCCGTATAACTAAGGTCCGGATAATCGAGGTTCTACTGTATATATATATATATATATATATATATATATATATATTATTTATAATCATGACGTATTTATATTGTACATCAGCCGCCAGGGAACTTTTTTTAATTATTATCCTAAAATATTTTTGTCTAACAATAAGTTGATATTACTTCCATAGATAAATAAGCATAAATCTGATTACTTCCATAGCATAGAGATTACCCCCATAGCAGATACAGTAAATATCAATTTAAAATACATACTTTTTACCTTCAACAAATTCATTTCACCCCCAATTTCCATTTGGGGTAATTTACCCCGGTTCCCCGACCACTGATCTACATGTTTAAGCTTGATTTTTAAATTGATGTTGTAATCAGAGTATATTTGTATGTCACCAAGTGCATATTTTGACGAGTGCAATTGATTTAGCTACAATATATTAGTTATTTTATTGTTAAATGTTATATACCTTATATTTTCTTTTCAAATTACTGTGGGAGCAATTGTAAACATCGTATTTTTTCTATAATAAACTAATAAACTATACACCGAAATAATATATTAGTACATATTGTATATCTATATTAAAAAAATAATACTACACTATTAATTTATATTAAAAATTGTAGCGGTTTCTTTTACATTACTTTAATTATATTCAAAATTTACAATTTTATAAAAAAATTCAATACATCACTATTATATAAAATACAGGAAAAACACAATATTTTGCGTATGGCATGTAATAAATAAATAAAACATAAGTATGAAGTTTCTGAAAATAATAATTTTATATCACGATTTTTTCTAAATATTATTCGCTTCCTTTACAATCCTTTAACGTGTTGAGGACGATGACTGAACTGATATTGATGATTGAATAGAAAGCAAATATTTAAAAAATTCATGATAAAAAAATCTTTCCCAATAATACCATACGTCACTTGCTTTTCTTAATTTAATATTTTTAATTTTAATATAGTTCTGTCCATTTTTAATTATAAATGAGTCGTCGTGAACTTTCACTCATGTTCAAATCTAATGTTAATTTTTGGTTTACATTACAATAAACACACTATGAAGGTTTGATTGAGAGGATTTTTCAAAATTTATATTGTTTTCGGAGATTCACCTATTTGACTATAATAATCCTTTTCTGTTTCCTTCCTTTATAAATAATTAAAAATAAACGCATATTTCTCAAAACTTTTCCAATACAACTTTTCTAGATGGATTTCTGGTGTTTTACTGGGCCGATTTACTTAAAATTTTCGAAGAATCTTTTTTTATACTATATATATATATATATATATATATATATATATATATATATATATATATGCTCTTTGTCATATACTAGCCTTATCACCAAATTTCAATTGTGACTAATTATAAAAAAATTGAGATACTCAAAAAGTGGTAAGAAAATGGTCTTTTTCTTGAAACGGTCGTCATTTTGTCAAACTTTTTTTTTCTTTACTTAATCCTAAATTAAATTTTTTTTCGGATTACTGATAGGATTGCAATCGTGGATTACGGTCAGGTGCCAATTTTTTGTGATCGTCCACCTCAATATCTGATATATTTTTTTTATTCATGAACTTTTTTTTTTACTTTTTTACTGTATTCTGTAATTTTTATTCTATCTTTAAAAAAGCGTCGGGAACCACTGATATATTGTAGACATGGCATCTTGTGTTAAGAAATATATTAAGAGAAATGAAGAAAGGTAGAGCACTACTGAAAGAGAGTTGTGCTTTATATATTTGTATATCATTTACAATTTCAATGAACCATTGAAATTCCATTCAGTTCTGATTTGTTAACCGTACTAGATGGTCGTGAATAATTTTAAATAAATTGTTATATTTCGTATAGGATAGTATATACGAATTTATATCAATGAAAGATCTATAATCAAATGTATGCATTATTTTTTAAATATTTTATCACATTTATTTTTTGGCGGACAAATTTTAGTTGATAGAAACTGTGAATGTGTTAGTGCACAAAGGTGGTTTTTAATTTTTATTAAATGTTCGGGTTAATATGTATTAAATTATATATTTTTATAAGTTATATAAAATTATTTCAAAAGAGAGAATTTATAGCTATAATAGAATATATGCATTTTTTTTAAAAAAAAATTCATACAATTATTTTATTAAATACATATATATTTTTTTCGGCGGGCAAATATAAATTAATAAAAACTGTGAATGTGTAGCTTTTTCATTTATATTCAATGTGGCTTATAAATTTAACCAAGTTTATGAAAGGATTTTTTAATTTTATGTTAAACTATTATTTTATTATTATTAATATAATAATAATTAATTAAATAATTGGTTATTTCAAATAATAAAACATTTTAGAATTTCTATATTAAACTGCATGAATTCAATATTTAATTCAATATATTTGTTTTGGCGAATTCAAATTTAGATGTGTTCGTTTTTAGAAGTGCTTTTAAATTAATATTAACGATGTATAAATTTTTCTGTCTTTATAAAAAAGGATTTTGTTTGAGTTAATATTAAATAAACCATTTATTTTTATTGGTTATACAAATTAATTAATTAAATCTATGGTTATTTCCACTAAGAAAATAAATTTTTATTTATATTAATGTGAAATATATAGTCAAATGTATTCATAGCATTATTTTAAAATAATTATTAAATCATTTAATTAAACATTTTTATTTTTTTGGCGGACAAATTTCACTTGATAAAAACTGTTGAAAAAGTGCTTTTAAATTTATTTATTCAACTGAGTTTATGAAAATAGTTATTATTTAACAAATGATTTATTTTTATTGATAATATAAAATGAAACAATCAATGATAAAATTCTTATTTGCTATTTTAATTTCCTAAATTTTTTATTTGTGTATTTATTTATTAGCTTTAATTACCAAATACTAAGCAATTTCAAATATAATATTAGAAATTTTATACATGCTATATTTAAAAAAAAATTTATACATATCTAATTAAAAAAAAATAAATTAATGAGTTAATGTTTAAAATTTTGATATTTAATTTTACAAATACATTTAAAGTTATAAACACGTGTATTTTTGAATTAGTATAATTTTAATTGTTATTACAGTTTTTGTAATTAGCTACAACTGTAGATAACATACATAGCCAATATAAAAATGAATGGATGCTATGTATTTTTTTCAAATTATTGGCGTGAACATAATATAAAGTAAATTACAGATTAATTAAAATATTTATATGCAGTATATATAGGTATAAATTAATACTAAAAAATAATTACAACACTTCATAACTATAACATCCGTATATGTTCCGAGAAAGTATGAATAAATCTGCGACGAGTATTATTACTAAATCATTCAAAAGCGGTCAGCTCTTGCCAATTCTCAGATGTGTATAGAAAGTGCCCGGATACATATTAATATATTATTGCATTTGTTAAACTTTCAGAGCTCTAAGTGAAAATGTACATAACCAAAAGAATACTTTTGTTGTTCTTTATTTGTGCTCTTGAGGCTGGAGCAATTTATGATACTTCTACAACGTCCGTGAAGAATCGCAGGCATTCGAATGATGATTCTGATAATCCTGCCAATTGGGCTGATGATAGTGGTATCTGGTCAACTATCTTGGAAGAATGGGCTTTGAGACCTTCGGGAGTAAGGTAAATCATTAAATTTAAAAGAATATTAATAAGCTTTTTATTTTATAAAAGTAAAATTAAATATTGATAATAAAACGTGACTAGTTTCGAAAAATTCAGCAGAAATAAATAAATATTCACCTAAAAAAATTGTTGTACTTTAAGGCAAATTGCTGAAACTTTCTGTGCCTTATAATGAAATATTAGAGAAATTTATTACAAGTACTGAAACTGAAATATAAACCGAATCACAAAGTTAAAATTATTTATTTCAAGTTTATAAGTGAGTTTAAAATATTTTTTTTCTAAAAACTAATGGTTTCTTCCTACTGTCAGTTCAAAATATTTTTTCGAATCAGTCGAATCGGATGAACCTATCTTTGTCAAAAACTACTCAGCACGTCTCGCCATCAACACAAATCGATTGTAATTTGAATCAATCTAACCGAATGCCCCCATTATTTAGCAAAAATCGAATTCCTGTTTTATGCAATTTTTGCTTCGAATCTCCATAACGGCTTGACCTGTCTTTACCAAAAATAATCATTTTTTAATTTCAGGTATAGGTTGTCATTTATATTTAAATATATTTAATTTTCTGATCTAAAAGCTTTCCTTTTTTTTCAAGAAAAGTGTTTATCCAATTTTTTATTCATAATTATTTTCACGTTTCGATGATATGGAATGTCTCCTTCAGGAACTCGTATCCAATTTTTTATTCATAATTATTTTCACGTTTCGATGATATGGAATGTCTCCTTCAGGAACTCGGGAAACAAAACAAATAAATACTCAGTAAAAATTAAACAATAAATTTACTAATTAGTGGTGTATGGCATCGTTCCTTGAGGCGTCCCGTGCCGAATAAAAATTTTGAAAATTTTATTTTGAATATTAAAAAAAAAAAATTCTCAAGATCAATCCTTTCCTCAATACAAGCAGAAAGTTTTTTGAATCATTCAAATCGGATGCTTATTTCTCTCAAAAAACTGCCATTTTTTGCACGTTTAGCTCCGTAACTCTGAAACGGCTGGACCTGCCTTTGCCAAAAACAAACCACCACTTCTCCCCATCATTCATTGAATGTTTTTTGAGTAATTCAAATCGGATGCTCCGTTCTCTCAAAAGCTAGATTTCTATTTTCTGCACTCTTTGTTCCGTAATTCCAAAATGGCTGGACCGACTTCTGCCAAAAACTAATCAGCACTTCTCCCTATAAATAGGATTCGAATGTATTTTTGAACTATTCACTGGAAAGTTTTTGGACGATTACAATAACTCTACGGGAAGTTAAATATTATAATTGATTCATAATTGTTTGAGTTATAGGTGTTAAAAGAAAGCATTGTACGAGTATATGTATTTATGTAAGCCATCACGTATTTGTGTTCTAACTGGAAGAAAAATTATGTAACTAAAAAGGTTTTTATTAGTTTATGTTATGCCAGTTTATTATTTTTAAACATAGGTAATTTTTTTATTACAATAGGGATTCGCGGGTCTTAAATCCATTATCTGCAGCGCAAGTATACGTCACCAACCGCATAGGCCAGGAAGACCCAGTCAGTACTGCAAGCCAAAATCAGTTTTTAAACAGTCGTCCTGGTGGAAATAAAGTCATCAATAATGGAATTGTACAAAATGGAGGCTTTGTACCGAATAATGGTTATCAACTCGCACCTAACGCCGGGTATCAATTTACGTCTAATGGTTACCAGCCAAATGGCAACTATGTTCCACCTCAAAGAGAAATTACGGAAACTGATGTATATCTGCTGAGCGCAATGGAAAAACTAGTTTATCGCTTGGATTTCATGGAAAAGCGAATGAGGAGGATGGAGCAAATGTTATATTATCTGATGAACGGAGACAAAAAAGAATCAGGCATGTATATTTGTTAAAGTTCCATCATAATTAACACTTTCGGGACGGCACCGATTTCAAAACAATCTACTGTTATGCAATTTGTTTATAATGTCATTGAAGGACATACATTTATAATATTAATTTATTTTTGTTCATTATATAAAGAATGGTGACGTTCAAAACAATTTCCAAAATGCATAGCTAGTTGATTTTGACATGTTTTACAATAAAATGTTGTTCGCCGCCTTCCTCCTTCTGTTAGAACAGACAATATAATCCCTTTTTCTTTCTCTCGCATTTAGAATATGCCACTGATTAGTCAGTATATTTGGTCATTTTTTTGCTGCCATAATGGTTTATTTTTTAATTATATTGTCTAATAATCATTTGTAAAATTAAAGTAAAATAATCTATTGGAGTTTATATTGTTTGGTATTTGTAGTCGGGGTGTTTGTTGATGTATATGTCAAACTCGATTATTGAAGGAGAATAACTTCTTCTTCTTCTTCTTTTTGTTGGTCGGATAATATCATCATCACATTCATCACTATCTTCGGTGCGAATAGTAATTTCGTAAAATTTGGCTGTATGAATGCCTATTTGAAACTCATCTTCACTACTGCTTAATTCACAAAATTTACCAGTCGCTTTGCCATATTTAAAAGCGCGTGTTCGTTTTAAATATTGAAAAAAGGACTATATAGCAAAGAAAAAGGCTAAAAATACTACTAAAATAACTTAAAATTATTTTCAAAATACAACACTGTATATCACTGCTATACGCAATTTAATCAACGTTTCGATGCAAACTGAGTCATTGTTTATAAAATAGCCTATGCCTCACAGAGTATATGTTTGTCCACTGAGGTGGACAGCCGTCCCCAAAGAGTTAAATAAAATTACTATATACTTATATACTATTTTATTTATCAATATTTATATTTTTACCTGTTTTTATTGCAGATCCTTGTCCAAAAAATTTTACCAGAGCCGGATCCAATTGCTATCATTTTGGTGTTGAAAATTCGTTAAATTGGAAATCAGCAAGTGCCGTTTGCCGAAAGTTAGACTCCGTACTTGTCGAAATGGAAAATAAAAAAGAAAATGAAAATCTTGTTGCTCACATACAAACTGATATAAATCTCAAAGGTAAGATTTCATATACTTTAACAGTAAAAATCCAATTTTTATTATAATATTGGTTTGTCTATATATTTGAATTATTAACTTCCCGTAGGGTAAGTTATTGTAATGGGCCGAAAATCGGAATTGAAAATTTTTACATTTCTCGACGTTTTGAAGGTTTCTGAACATTTTGGCATACCTCAGAAAAAATGGATGTGTGTGTGTGTGTGTGAGTGTGTATGTGAGGATACAATTTTTCGTCCACGTTTTCGGGCGCACGGATCAACCGATTTGAATGGTTCAAAAAACATTCGATTCCTATTCATAGGGAGATGTGCTGATTAGTTTTTGGCAAAGGCAGGTCCAGCCGTTTCGGAGATATGGAGCAAAGAGTGCAGAAAATAGCAGTTTTTGAAAGAATTAAGCGTCCGATTTAGATGATTCAAATAACTTTCTGCTTGTTTTAACAAAATAATTGATTTTGAAAAAAAAAATTTGTTCCAAATTTTAGTTTTCGGTACAGAAAGTTCCAGCAATTCGCCTTAAGGCGCGATGCCATGCACTACTAGTTCATTATTGCATTAAATTATTTTCAGAAAAAGATTTCTGGACGGGCGGTCTCAATCCAGGCCTTCTATGGATCTGGGCTAATTCCGCCAAGCCAGTTGCAACCGAAAATTCGGCAGCAAATGCTACGAACAACGCCTTGGACATCAAAGGCAGCGGTCGATGTTTGAAGCTCTCATACAAACCTCCCTTAAGAACATATCATTATTTTGGAGACGATTGTTCATCAAGACAACATTACATATGCGAAAAACAGGACAACACAGTGTCAAATGAAATATCAAGAATGGCTAAAGCACTTTTCCATGAAAATTAAATTTTAGTGGAAGCGGTCATTAGAATTCAGTCAAACTTTGCGTAAGTCCTACTTTATAAGGTTTAATTGTGCTAGGGTAATTAATATTTATAATAATAATTAGTATTTATTAACTGTGTGGGAAGTTTATGTGATACCTACACACTTTTTTATTAGTATGTAGCGAGAAAGTAAATCTTTCCAGCATGAAATCATTATGCAACATATGTGTAGGTGGATGATGATGACCGTAGTTTGCCTAATATTCAGATGATATATATTTAAGATTTCAATAAGAGCATATTGTTTTATTTAATTTTTTGTTTAATAATATTATGTATTTATTATTACTCTTAAGATTTGTTTTATATTTAAAATTGGCTAATCATGGCCATTCTGAATAAATGTATTTATTTATCATTTTATACTATTATTCCAAAAATACCAAATTAATCAATTTAATTAATCATAAATTAACTAATTTTGTACTTAAAATAGTGATTTCCAACCTTTTCATATCGTATCGCAATTTTAGTCCACGTTTTCAGGCGCACGTATCAACCGATTTGAATAATTTCAAAAACATTCGATTCCTACTGATAGGGAGACGTGCTGGTTAGTTTTTGGCAAAGACAGGTCCAGCTGTTTCGGAGATACGGAGCAAAGAGTGCAGAAAATAGAAATCGAGTTTTTGAGAGAACGAAGCATCCGATTCGAATAATTCAACAAACATTTAATTCATATAATGATAGAGAGAAGTGGTGATTAGTTTTTGGCAAAGACGCGTCCATTGCTTGTATTGACGAAAATATTGTTTTTGGATTTTTTTTTCGATTTCTAAATTTCAAAAAAATAAATAAATAAAATAAATTTTAATTATAGATAGAGTACTAAAACTCACTTATATACTTCGAATAAATAATTTTAACTTTGCAATTCAGTTTATAAACTGAAATTCTTATAAATATTAGACATTGTCATTCATTTTAATCCGGTTGATTAATTTTTAACTTCCCGTAGGGTAAGTTATTGTAATGGGCCGAAAATCGGAATTGAAAATTTTTACATTTCTCGACGTTTGAAGGTTCTGAACATTTTTGGCATACTTCAGAAAAAAATGGATGTGTGTGGTGGTATGTATGTATGGATACAATTTTTCGCCTACGTTTTCGGGCGTACGGATCAACCGATTTGAATGGTTCAAAAAACATTCGATTCCTATTGATAAGGAGATGTGCTGATTGTTTTTGGCAAATGCAGGTCTAGCAGTTACGGAGTGCAGAAAATAGAAATCGAGTTTTTGAGAGAACGGAGCATCCGATTTGAATGATCTAAAAAACATTCAATTAGTAATGATTGGAGAAGTGGTGTATTAGTTTTCGCAAAGGCAGGCCCAGCCATTTCGAAGATACGAAGCTAAATGTAAAAAAATGCAGTTTTGAGAGAACTATGCGTCCGATTCATGTTCAAAAAACTTTCTGCTTGTCTTAACAAAAATTATTGATTTTGGAAAAAAAATTATTTCAATTTTTTTTTTTTTTTTTAATTTTTTTGTATATCGAAATAATTCAGATTTTATTTTTAATTCTGACTATGTTCTAATATACTTTAAACAAATAATTTCAAACTCTGCAATTCAGTTATTTAATTCTTATAATTATTAGACAATGTTACAATATTTATGATAATCTATTGAAAACATTCAGTATTCCTCGAAACATTTCGTTACGGTACGGGAAGTTCCAGCAATTTGCCTTAAGGCACGATGCTATACTAGTTATATATTTTATTGTGTGTGTGTGCGGATACAAATTTCGTCGACGATTGCGGGAACACGGATCTACCGATTTGAATAATTTAGAAAACATTCGATTCGTATTGATAAGGAGACGTGCTGATTAGTTTTTGGCAAAGGTAGGCCTAGCGGTTGAGAAGATGCGGGGCAAAAAGTGCCAAAAACGGTAACTCAGTTTTTAAGAGAACGGAGCGTCCGATTTGAATAATTCAAAAAATATTTTACTTGTATTGACAAGATGAAGAACTGATTAAATTTTAGGGAATGCAGGTGTAGCGGTGTCGGAGATCTTGTAAAAAAAAGTTGAAAAAAATGCCATTTGGTGGGCAAAATGATCATTAGACATATGCACACTAAATTATCAGAGATTTTAATAACGTGTATCGATAGTTCGCGCTTCGATAGTTCGTCTCTATGCAGCTAAATCAGTGCGATTGATTTGGAAAAAAGTTCAAAATTTCCAAAATATTTCAAAATAAAAAAACACTTTTCTCCAGAAGCTTTTTTTTCAAAAATTTCTAATATCTCAAGCAATCCTTATCTATGATTTCAAGAATTAATTTTTTTCAAAGATTAAAAAAAACTTTTGGTACGGAAGTTCCAGCAATTTGCCTTAAGGCACGATGCCATACAGCACTAATGCATAGCTTTCGGTTGTATAATAAGAAATAATATTAATCGAAGTCGAAGGCTTAGAAGATCTGAAAAAATGTTAGTTAAATAAATCGTTTCTCGGGAAAGTGACAGCCAATCAGAAATAACCACGACTTGGCGTGCGTAGGGCGACGAATACACGTCGTCGCTTCATTTCAAATTCAGTATGTATTGTATAATATCACATTTGACAGATGTGCTGCAACAAGCATAGTATTTATTTATAAATGTATTTATTTAAATTAAACAATAATGGATTTTATTAAAACAATAAATATACGGAAATTGACACCTTTTATAGTTTTATTAGTTCTAGAATTAATGTACGATGGTGAGTTTGATAACATAACCTATAAGGAGTTGTGGTGCTTTATTAAAGAATTTCTAATAATTACTTTTTGTAGTTAGCGAATGTGCAACACAAGCCGAAATTAATAGACATTTAGAAGCTGGCAGGGAATATTTACAAAGAAATCAACTTGCAGATGCCCTTAGGGAATATCATGCCGCAGTCGGTATGTATAAATTTGCATTTACACTAAGTTTATTACCAAAAACTTATATTTTTTAAATGAATTTATTCATATAAAATTAAGTGTCAAAAGCTATAAACAAGCTTGAAGTGATGTCATAAATTAAACCATAAATTCAATATTTAATCATTAATATCCCAAACTTATGAACAATCTCTTTAAAATGCAAATTAATTTATGAAAAACTATGCTTCTTGTATGCTGATGTTGTTGTCATTGTGATTATTCATGTTTCACAATTATTGTTCTGTATTTCAATTCAGTTTGTCTATATATATATACACCTAAGTCTGTTTTTACACGGTAGATTGGTTCCAGAAGGAGCCGTGTAGAAAAAAAACGTGTAAAAAAAGACATTGATCTTATACAAAAATGGGTGATTTATTCCTAATTTCTAAAACCTATTAAAATTAGTGAAATACAAGAATTTTTAAGAACAAGAATTCATGTTTATTTTATTAAATCAAATATATAATGCTTATTTTCACAAGCATAGTAATTAATGATAAAAAAGATATGCACTCTAATCTTAAAAGTAATATAAATTAGTGCTATTCACATTTGTTTTGACCAGTAAAAATTGTTTTTACGCGCTAAAGGGGAATTCACTTAAATCTTTAAGCTAGTGTTCGCAAACTATCGATACTATCGATGGTTTCAGACTTTTTTCTTTCATAAATACTTTTTTGTGATATGAACATACTTCGCAAAAATTAAATTTGACGAAAAAATTTAAGTACATAAAATTTCAAATCGTGCTAAATGGAATAAAATCGTGTAAAAAAATTAAAAATATTCAATTTTCAAACCGTGTTATATCAAAACCGTGTACAAAAAGACCGTGTAAAAACAGACTTAGGTGTATATATATATATATATATATATATATATATATATATATATGACACTATATATATATATATATATATATATATATATATATATATTATGACACTACTATATATACATATATATATATATATATATATGTATGGTGACACAACTGCCTCGAGAATGTACGCATAAACTACTTTTTCCGTGCAAAATATATTATATTTCACAAATATTTTGCTATGCTCTGTTCAACAAAAACAAAAAAACAAGTTAGTGTATATATGATAGTGCAAAATTATGTGCCATACGCTAGTTACTGATTTAAGACCTTATTTATATCCACTGATGATGACATAAAATCCTATGTCGAAACGTTTGAAAAAAATTAAAGATTAACTTCTAAATCTTTGCCTTTTATTTGATGTATTGCCCTTGAACTTACTCATATATGTATATATATATAATATATATATATATATAATATATATATATTATATATATTGATTGATTGATGATTGATTGATTATTTATATATTTTGTTTTTTTTTGAACAGTAAATCCAATAATAAAAAAATAATTGGTTTTTTGAAGATGTTTAATAACGACGTTTTGGAAATAGATACGCTCCATCATCAGGTTATTCTGTCAAAGACAATGTTTTTTAAAACTATTGATTAACATTAATTAATTATGGTTATTACAGATTATTTAGAAAAATTATAAAGAAATGGATTATGTACCAGTGTAAAGAGTAATAAAAATACATTAGCCAAACATCACAATCAAAAACAATACATTGGCCAAACATCACAATACATCCATATGATAATGAGACAACATGAATTAAGCGTCATTCATCACAAAAGCCGAAGTTTCCAAATCACTCTTGTTCAACATTCCATTGAAAATTCACATATTTTTACCTTTGAACCCAATATTTTATATAGAGAGGATTGTACTTTTAAAAGACTTTTTACTGAAAGCAGTTTAATCTTTTTGAATTCATCAAGTTGTGTTAACAGAAGATCAGATCGTAATATCATTCATGATTCATATCTAAATTTTTTAAACCTAATTAAAAACGATTAATCCTTTATTAATTTTGTGTGTATATATGCATATATATATGGATGTGCATATATTACTACATATATGTGCTTATATGTGTTAACAAAATAATTGATTTTGGAAAAAAAAATTTTGTTTCATTTTTTTTTTTTTTTTTTTTAATTTTTGTATATCGAAAATAATTCAGATTTTATTTTTAATTCTGACTATAGTTCTAATATACTTTACAAATAATTTCAACTTTGCAATTCAGTTTATATAATTCTTATAAATATTAGACAATGTTACAATATTTATAATAATCTGTTTGAAAACATTCAGTATTCCTCGAACATTTGTTACGGTACGGGAAGTTCCAGCAATTTGCCTTAAGGCACGATGCCACCCACCCCACTAGTTTATATATAATATCAATGAGATAAAATGACAATAACTATTATTTGTTACATTATTATTTGCTTATATTTGGCTAGACAAAAGCAATAATGTTACTAAATTTTATTAATAACTTTTGTGAATGTTATATATTATCAATTGTTTTTGTTGTTGTTGTTATTTTATGTGATGTTAACAATGTGTTAATAATGTTTTATTTGCAGAAGGGGATCCAACAAATTATTTAACAAACTTTAAAAGAGGCACAGTTTATCTTGCCTTAGGTAGAGCTAGATTAGCTTTACAAGACTTTGGAACAGTTCTAGAATTAAAACCAGATTTCACAGCAGCTCGACTACAAAGAGGAAGTGTGCTAATGAAGCTTGGAGAGTATGATTCTGCTTATTTAGATCTTTATAATGTGGTATGTTTAATACCTTACTTACTTTGTTATAAGTTATGTCATACTATCTATGTAAGTTATTCTATTTTACAGCTATCAGTAGATCCATATAATGAAGATGCAAATGTTTTATTTCAACGAGTACATCCAGCTCAAGAATCATTCATGATTGCCCATGAGTTGAAGTAAAAAAATTTGAATTTAGTTAAAACTAAGCTTCATAAGATTTTTTCATAACAGACATTGATTTCAGACAAATGAGGAACTTTGATGGTGCTATTAGAGAATTAACAAATTTGTTAGAAATTTCACCTTGGTCATCAGAAATTCGTCATCTAAGGGCTGATTGTTATTTAGAACAGGTACAACTAATTTTATAATAACATACTTAAAGTATATTAAATAATAAGTTTAAACACATTTTCTATGAGCAGATCTATCATTTTCTTTTTCATTTTTGCTTTATCTTAATACCAAAGACTATAGTTTTATACATTTTTTCCTTAAAAATAAACTAATATTAGCTTGAATGTAATATACAATATCTTATAATTATTTTTAATCCTAGGGTGAAGTTTTGAGTGCTGTATCAGATTTGCGTGCCATAAATAGACTTCAGCAAGATAGTATAGAAGGATATTTAAACTTAGCAAATTACTGTATCAAGCAGGGTTTGTGGCTGAATCTTTGAAAGTAATTTCCTTTTGAATACTTTATCTATGATACATTTTATATTTTATTTCACATTTTGTTTTAGGAAATAAGAGAATGCTTACGACTTGATCCAGAACATAAAGACTGTTTCCATTGTATAAGAAAATTAAAAAGATAGATAAATTTTTAAATACAGCTGAACATTCTTTAGAAAGTGGAAACTTTGGTGAATGTATAGAACAAGCTGGAAAGGTTTTAAAAGCTGAAGATACAGTTATTGATGTTATATTTAATGCCAAGAAACTGCTGTGCAGTTGCTATGTAAAGGTATATGTAAATAACATTTCAAAATAATTTTAAGAATATTAGTAACTGTTACATAATATATATTTTACTTGGCAAAGGATGAACAATACACAGTTGCTATTGGCACTTGTAGAGCTGCATTAGAAATTCATCAAGATCCATCAATAATGTGTGATAGAGCTGATGCTTATATTGGTACAGAAATGTATGATGACGGTAAGAGAAACAAGTTTTTTATTTTATATTAAAAATATTGCATCTGGATATCATTTGGATGATAGAATTTTTTTTTAAATATCATAGTTTCAAAATATTTATTGTTTCAGCCATCCATGATTATAAATCAGCTTTGGAAATAAATGAGCATGATCAGAGAGCGAAAGATGGGCTTTTGAAGGCTCAGAGGTTACAAAAGCAAGCTGAGAGAAGAGACTATTATAAAATTCTAGGTGTAAAAAGAACAGCTACAAAGCAAGAGATCATTAAAGCTTATCGAAAAGCAGCACAAAAATGGCATCCTGATAATTTCAAAGATGATGAAAAGAAAATAGCAGAGAATAAATTTATAGATATTGCTGCTGCTAAAGAGGTAGCAAATTGATTATTTTATAGATCATCAAACATTCATGAAATACTTTTATTATTATAATATATGTGGACCAAATAATTGAGTTTATGACCTTATTAATAATTTATTGTAGGTTCTTACTGATCCTGAGAAAAGAGCTCAGTTTGACAACGGTGAAGATCCTTTAGATCCAGAATCTGCAAATAATCACAGAGGGGGCGGTGGTTCACCGTTCCATCACTTCCATCATGGATCACCATTTCAATTTAAATTCCATTTCAATTAAGGCTTATGAAACATTATATGTGATTATACATATGAGGAGTCTGTATGTGATTCAAGACTGTATTAATAGATCAGTGTGAAATTTGAATAGCGTGCATGGAGTACTGATGAATAAGCGGGTGCTTATGTATAATACAGAATTGTAGGTATATTTATACAACTTTCTGAGTTAGCTGAATATTTGTATATTATTCATTTATAATTTATTTTTATATTTTATTAAAAAAGATTTTGAATGTGGAATATATTGTGAATGAATGTTTACCATACTTAAAAAAAAAAGGTGTACATTTGTATATATTTATTACTTTAATACATACATTTGTAAATATTTAACGATAAATGAGTGTGTATATAAAAGTTTTATTTAAGTTTACATTGATTAAAAAAAAAATTATTCAATATAATCCAAATCTTCTGGAATACAAAATTGTTTGTTTATTGCTGCTTCTTCAATAAAAAATTTTGTTTTACAATATGATTTTAATGCGAATAAATTATCAGTCCACCGATTTGTAGCTTCTTTTGCTAGCTATAAAAAATATTAAATAAATTCATATTTTAAATTATACAATAATTAATAATATTGTACATACTTTTGTTTCAGAAACCAGTAGTTCAATGGCTTCAGGGTCCGAGTCTTGATATTTTTTAATCTCTTCAAGCAATTTACTTTCAGATTCTCTCAATTTCTGTATTTCTTGAAGCATTGCATTTCTCTGCTCCGTTAGAACTCGCCCAGTTTGCTCTTTGGATAAAATATTTTTAGTCGTCATATTTTTTATCTAATTGTTCCAATTTTTCACTAAGCTCTGCAAAAGCTTTCTTCTTGGCATGCTTAGCTTTACTTTAATATTAATCAAATTCATTACTATAGCCAATAGATGATAAAATCAGTAAATTACCTTGGATATGCCCAAAAATAAACTGAGGTTCCAATTTGTGTCTGTATCAACTAGGCCATCGTCTACCAAGTTCTGTATGACATCTTTTACACTTTGTGAAATTATACCTTTTCTTTTGGTGCAATTTTTTCTAGTTCCTGCATAAAAACTCCAACATCATTATAATAGAAATATTATAAACATGATAGTTCTTCTATTAGTACTGGTGTGGCTACAATATACAAAGAACATTTACTACGAAAAAGGTAAATATTGTTACCAAGGTTATATATATAAATGTGTATATATATATATATATATATATATATATATATATATGTGTGTGTGTGTGTTTAAATCTTCAGCATTTCTGATAAAATACAAAACATAGAAATTTAAAATAATGTTTAGATAGTTCTAGTGCTATTTCAAAATTCGTAAACAAATGTGTAATATTCCTGATGTCTAATTTAGCGTCGATCTTATGGATTACTCTGAATCAGTCTGATAACATTAATTATTATTATTACTTTTAACTGAAAAAATTCCTTTTTTCGTAAAAAAGTTGTAACATTCGAGTTCTCTTTTCATCTGCACTGACGCTCTTCGCTTAGACATTTTTCTTTCTTCATAGATTGGATTTGGATGGGCGAATACTCGCATAAAATAGCTACGTTATATTATTGCTCTC